AGGGCACATGTGTCTGCTGGAAGGATGGCACCTGTGTCTACTGGAAGGATGAGGGCACCTGTGTCTGCTGGAATGGTAAACCAGGTGGGGCCCCAGATGGACTAATAAAACATGTACTCCCAGATGGGAACTGAAGAGGACTCTGAGATGATAGTAATGGAGTAAATGGCATAGTATTGTCCATGGACATATGATGAACCTGCCTCTGCGGGGGAGGACACGTGGCTGAGTGAGGTAACTGGCATACTACTACCCTTGTACGCCTGGGCTTCCTACCACTATCACTAGGACCTTTACCCTTATCATCTTTGGGTGGCATTTTGACCTAATTAAAGAAAATACAAGTTAACATATACATATTCTCATGAATACATATTCATTAAATCATTCAATAAATGGTTCTTTGAGTAAAATTATAAGACACAATTCTCATGAATACATATTCATTAAATCATTCAATAAATGGTTCGTTAAGTAAAATTACAAGACACAATTCTCATGAATATAGGTTCACTATTCTGAATCGTCATGCTCTTCATCCATTTCATCATCGGCATCTGATGTGATACTATCCTCAGATCCAAAATCTTCATGATCTTCATCCTCATCAACTTGATTCCCCTCAACCATTGTATCAGACAAACTTGTAGTGTGTTCATCTGGAATCACATCATTAACTTCAACTTCATCAACTTGGTAAGCAACATCCTCCACTAGATCGTCAGTTTCAATATGACCCAATGGTTTTGTTTTTATTACAACATAACACCGTCGTTTACGTGGCACAAATGAAGGATAAGGAACATAATAAACTTGCCTAACAATATTTGACATTATGAAAGGGTCGTACTCTTTGTACCTCCGGTCCATTTGAATCTCAACAGTACCATATGTCTTATCTATTTTTGTGCCTCTAGTTGGATTATACCATTCACAATAAAACAAGACAACTTTATTTTCCGAGTCCAAGTAATTGTATACTAACTCGTAGATATTTTAACAAAACCATAGAAGTCATTTTCACCACCATCTGTAACTCCTTTCACAAATACGCCATTGTTTATAGTTTTTTTCCCTTCAGTCCATTCATGAGTGTGAAATTTATATCCGTTCACGAAGTATGTGTGCCATTTGTTTGCACTTTAACAAGGGCCATTAGACAAGTTTCTCAAATGGAGTATTTCTGGAGTCGGTGCAACAACCCTATACAATTTCTCCTTGAACCATGTTGGAAATTGGGCATGAATGACACCAGATGTTGATTGTACACCGGTACTATCAAAGTAGGCGTTGTTAAATTCACTAAAAAGAAAGACACTATAACTTTCAAGGTAATCAATTTTATATTTACACTGTAAAGAAAATTAAGAAGTTGGATTATACTTACTCAAGATATGGTTTAACTTCAATGCAGTTGATCAAGACATGAACATGTGCAGATTGCATTTCTTGTTGGGTCAACCAATGCTCACCCTTCTTTCCAGAGGGACGACCTGGAAGCCCGAAGACTGATAAGGTGTACTGACTTCTTTCGATAACATTTACAGGATTCCTTATGATTCTTGGAGTTAACATCAAGTGCTTGAAATAGTGACTGCAAAAATGTGAAGTTTCTCGATGCAAGTAATGTGCACATATTGATCCTTCAACTCTAGCTTTATTTTTCACTGATCGCTTTGAATCACCCATGAACCTTTCAAACGGATACATCCACCTATATTGAACAGGTCCTCCTAGATAAGCCTCATATGCAAGATGCACATGTAGATGTTCCATGGAGTCAAAAAAACCAGGAGGAAATACTTGTTCCAACTTACAGAGAATGATTGGAATATTTTGGTCCAACTTAATGATGTCATCCACTCTTAAAGCTGAAGCACAAATATCTCTAAAAAATTGACTAATTTCAGTGAGTGGATTAAGCACATGTTTGGGTAGAGAACCGAACGCAATTGGTAGCAATTGTTCCATAAAAACATGGCAATCATGAATTTTCATACCATGCAACTTCCCAGTGTTAGCATCAGCACACCTTGATAAATTTGAAGAATACCCGTCGGGCATTCTCAAACCTTTTAGCCATCCACAAACCGCTTTAGCTTCTTGGGGGGTCAGACTGAAACAAGCTTTGGGTTTAAATAATTTTCCATTTGGTTGAGGCTTCAATTCCAACTCTTTACGATTACACCAAATTTCCATGTCTTGTCTAGCCTTCACATTATCTTTTGTTCTGTCTTTAACATCCATCACTGTGTTAAATACGTTATCGAAAAAATTCTTCTCAATATGCATAACATCAAGATTATGGCGCAACAAATTATCTTTCCAATACGGGAGGTCCCAAAATATAATTCTTTTTGTCCAATTATGTGTGACCCCATATCCTTCAATTCTACATGCTTTGCCAGTATCTGTAAACTTTGGAAGTTCACAAACTTGGTTCCATATAGCAACTGGTGCCAATCGAGGCGGAGGCAGATCCGTTACCCGTTCGTCCTTTTTGAAATTTGTCTTGTTTTTTCTAAAGGGATGATTTGATGGTAGGAATCTGCGGTGACGGTCAAACCACGAGCTTTTCCCCCCTTTTTCCAATGTAAACGCCTTAGTGCATTCCATGCAATGCGGATAACCCATTCTGCCATGCGTGCCCCAACCAGACAACATGCCATATGCTGGAAAGTCGTTAATGGTCCACATCAAGGCAGCTCGCATAGAAAAGTTTTGTTTACGGGATATATCATAAGTCCATTCTCCATTATTCCACAACCTCTTCAAATCATCAATTAAAGATTATAAGTACACATCAATTCTGGTTTTTGGACTCGACGGTCCTGGAATGACGCACGTCAAAAACATGTATGGTTTTGTCATGCACATCTCAGGAGGGAGATTGTAAGGGGTTACAATAACTGGCCAATAAGAATACGCACTTCCGGACGCTTGGACATATGGAGCAAAACCATCAGAGCATAATCCAAGCATGACATTTCTAGGTTCAACGGCAAAATCAGGATGTACCTCATCAAAGTGCTTCCATGCATGGCCGTCAGATGGGTGTCGCATATTGCCTGGGCTTGTTTTGTTTGTATGATGCCATGTCATTTGACTTGCATTGTGCATTGAAGAAAACATTAGTTTTAACCTTGGTATTATCGGAAGATAAAACATGGACTTTACTGCTACCCGTTTTTGGTTACTGTTAATGGCTCTATTGCGAACTTTATATCTTGGACTATGACAAAACTTACATTCCTCTGACGATTCATCTTGAGTACCAAACTCGTTGTCATAAAACAACATACAACCATTAATGCAACAATCAATCTTTCTTACTCTTAAACCCAACTTCGACACCAACTTCTTTGCATCATAGAAACTCGCAGGAAAGTTGTCTTTCGTTGCAGTTGAGTCCAACATCATTTTTGCGAAGTGCTCCAAACACTGATCAGGAACATTCCAATTTGACTTGGCGGCCAATAATCTAACACACATTGATAGCTTTGAGTCTGACGACCCCTCAAACAACGGTGTATTCATCTCATTCAACAACTGATAAAATCTCTGTGCTTCCTCATTCGGCAACTCTTCCCCGTCAAAGTCTTCAGGTTGATCATAGGTCACGTTAACACCAAAAGCATCACCAACCATGTCACATATCAGATTAAAGTTTTCTTCAAATTCCATAGGTGGTTGCATAATCGGTTGACTACTTGAAGCATTTGTGTTGCTAGTCTCTGGTACATTACTCGGCAGTGTTTCACCATGATACGTCCAAACCCAATAATTTTCAATGAAACCTTTCCTATGCAAATGGCGTGTTATTTTCTCTGGGTCACTAATTATATATCTACATCCACATTTAAGACAAGGACACCTAACTCCTCCTTCACTTCGACAAAGTTCCTGGGCAAACGTCCACGCGATAAAACCATTAACCCCGTCTATAAAATTGGGTTTAAGTGCGCGTCTTCCTGGATATAGTCTATCGTACATCCAACTACGATAATACATATAATATTCCATTTACTGCAAATTTATATAATCAAAACCTATTTAATTAGAAATATTAATTAATCAACTTAATAATAATCCTAAACATATACAATTAAAGATAAATATATGCTTTCAAAAATATTTATAAACTCCTAAAAATATTTAGTTATTTTTAAACACTTAAAATTTAATTTAAACACCTAAATTTTATAAACTCCTAAAAATTTAAAAACTTATTAAACTCCTAAAAATTTAATTTAAACACTTAAAATTTTATAAATTCCTAAAAATATTTATTTATTTTTAAACACTTAAAATTTAATTTAAACACCTAAATTTTATAAACTCCTAAAAATTTAAAAACTTATTAAACTCCTAAAAATTTAATTTAAACACTAAAAAATTATAAACTCCTAAAAATATAAAAATTTAAACTCCTAAAATAATTAAACTCATTCATCACAAATTAATAATTAATAATTATTATAAACTAAATAATTAAACCTAACATTTAACTCAAATACAGAATATATATATATATATATATATATATATATATATATATATATATATATATATATATATATATATATATATATATATATATATATATATATATATATATATATATATATATATATATATATATATATATATATATATATATATATATATATATATATATATATATATATATATATATATATATATATATATATATAACCAATAAATTAATCAAATTCAGAAAATATACTAATTTTAAATAAAAAAATTCAAGACATACCTTTTATCTTGTAACTCCTTCAATCTTCTTGTCCTTTTTTGCAATCTATACTTCTATATTCTCCTTCTCTATTCAAAGAAAAATTGAAAAAAAATTATACTCAAATAACACATCAAAAGCTATTAACAAAGTATAAATAACATGAAATTGAAATTACCTTACAACCAATGTATGAAGATGGTAGGAATTTAAGTGTGGAGAAGAAAAAAATTTGGAGAAGAAAATGGGTATGGAGAGGAGTATGGAAGGTTGAAGAAGAAGAAAATGAAACAGAAACTGTGTGCGTTGTGAAACGTTTTGATAAATTAGATAAACCAAGTAGCAACGTGAAAATCACGCCGCAACGTTCACTACGCCAAAAATGATTTTTTGTATCACCTAATTTAATAGCACTTTTAAAAAAAATGCTATTAAAATGGAAAAAACACATTTATAATAGCACTTTTTAATCGGGCGCTATTATATAATACAGACTATGTAATTATGATAACACTTTGTACCAGAACGCTATTATTAAACTTCTTTAAGATAGCATTTTGTATAAAACGCTATTATTTGACTACCTATATAATAGCATTTATTAAAAAGCGCTGTGTTATATATAATAATGAATTAATTAATTAATTGATAAAAAAAAAACACATTTTCAGAAAGTTATTTCAATTAGAAACCGAAACAAAATAAAAAAACACAGGAAGGAGAAAAGTCATTCCAAATCCATTACTTGACTGGCCTCTGACGACACGCCGGCGACCGCGAGCGACAACTCAACTGCTTCTGCAACAGCATAATATCGACGCACTCCGGCCCCCTGTAGCGTCACCGGCAGCCACCACTGGGCGTTCGACTCCGACCTCCATCTCCAGCCACTCTCGGTTTTGCTTGCAGGTAAGCAATTTTTTTCCTCTATTTTCTCGATTTGTTGTCATTGTTGTTGGAGAACTTAAATGCTTGATTTGAATCTTGGATTTCTATTTTGTTGTTGTTCTTATTTTAAGATAAAGATTGATTTTGTTTTGGGGTTGAAATGGATGAGAGATAGAAAAAACCATGGTTATTGTTCTGCAAGTTGTGGTCTTTTGCGAGAGAGAGTAAGAAGAAGAAGTATCACTGTCTAGAAAGAAAAGAGAGAACTAACATTTCTCTCTCAAGATGTGTGCATTATAATTTGTTTTCTTATAATAATAGTTGTCATTTCTCAAAATTTCCTTGGGTGGGCATAAGGTTGGAAGAGTCAAAATAAACATGCCAAATAACTGGATCGAAAATAGTGCTCCTGTTTGCTATTTCTTCTATTATAGTATTAGTGATAGTGTTGTGGGATGCATTTTTTATAATAAATGCAGAAAGTTAGTGATGAGAATCGAGAAAGAGCGTTAAATCCTCAACATCCCTATAGAAAGTCACGTTTAGGGTGTGCTCGTCTTGAAGCTGATATGGTAAGTATGTGTATAAATGTACTATACAATATTATAAAAAAATTTAATTGCTATGTTAATTTGTAAAAATGTATATACAGGTAGAAGAGTCAGAAGTTGGTGAGATAAACCGTAGTCAAGTGTGGAAGGCTGCCCGCGTCAATAAGAGCGGGGTGATTGATAATGAGAATGTTCAAAGAGTTGTGGATCAATGTGTAAGTCGAATTTTAGATGTGACACTATAGATGTTATTTCCAAAATGCTCACATTATAGATGTGACACTTTTTCTATACTCATCATTGTTACCGAATTTGTATTTTGTTAGTTAGTTTGAAGTCATTAAACTCGATTTTCCTTAATTAATTGAGTCTTTGTGTCTTATTTTAATAGAATAGCCATTAATTGCAACTTGTATCTAACTATTGGTTATTTCTTTTATACTTATCAATGTCAGGAGAAGTTAACAGAAGCTCTATCTGAAGAAGAGAGACAAGACCTTGGTCCCACAAACATATTATTTGAGGCTCTTAATCTCCCAAACTACTCTGGACGTGTTAGGACTTATGGTTTTGGGGTATGTTCTAGGGACATATTACCACGCCAAAATCGCCCCACACAAATGGATTTTGAAAAATTGTATGGCTTTTGTAATTCACTCAAAAGTAGATTGGAGGTGCTAGAGAGAGAAAAGATTGAGAGAGATAAGTTGGATAGAGAGAAGCTAGAGAGGCAACAAACTGAAGAAGTGGAAGAAAGGCAACAACCTAAACAAGTGTCAGAGAGGTTGCAACAACCTGAAAAAGTGGCACAGAGGCAACACCTTGAACAAGTGGTAGAAAGGAAACAACCAGAAAAAGTAGCTGAGAGTCGACTACCTAGTGATAAAGGTTCTTGCAACCCTGGATCATTTGGCAACATTCCCGAGGTAATTGGTTTCTTTATTATCTCTCAAATTCGATATGTTTGTTCTTTCAATAATGATGTTAATCTTTTTATTCATATCTTATTGGTTTAGGGTCTCTTTCCTGTTAATATATATTTATCCTCCCCGAGTCGTTGTTTGGTTGCTCGTGGAAAACTATATAACACCAAAGGTAACACGGTACATGGCATGACGTTACCACCTGGATATGTCAAGGTTAATATCGAAGTTGCTATTGTGCCAAATGCCCCATTGCCTATATCTGTTGAAGATGGAGATGTATCCATGGTTGGTCAAGCAATAGGAACAATTGTGCCATGGCCAACGAAACTTCTTGAATTTGTTGCTGAATGTGAAAAGGTAAATTACTTATAATCAAGTTGCTTGATCGCTACTTATTTTATTATTTGATCACTAATATTAATTAATACAACTTTTTAGATTCCTGGTCAATCCCAAAACAAAGGTAATAATATTCAACACAGTGTTGAATATTCAGTTTCATCACCCAACAAAAGTAACAAAAAATTCAAAATCGAAGAGTCTCCTAGAGTTGGCGGTTCAGCTGGTATTGCAAATTTACCTTTCCTTGATATGTATGTGAAAAAGATGATGAGGGTTGGATCATTAATTCAAATAAAAATGGAGGAAAGTATATTTGGTGAGGAGTTTTTAGATCATGAATTCAATTGTTGTTCATTTCTAGGTATTTGTATGACAAGTTTATTAGTCCAAATGGATTAATAAATAAGTTCTCTTTCATATCTCCACATGTATCACGGGAGGATAATCTAGGAAATGGTATAGCAAAAATACTTTTGAAAGATGAGGAGTTCAAGGATAAGATGATTCTTGCACCTTGTAATCTAGGGTGAGATTTATATTCAAAAAGTTATTAAATTAACGAGAAAAAACTCTAATGAATGTGAATCTTTAATGCAATATTTAAATGTTGGGTGCAGGAAACATTGGGTGTTGCTTGTCATCAATCTCAATGCTGAGGTGATATATTACATGGATCCGTTGAATGGTGAGCCAACAAAACATCAAAATTTTAAAACAAAGTTTGAGAAGTGAGTATAGACTCTTTTAATTTAAAATTTATGTACGTATTATTATTTATATAATTACTCATTTGGAGTTAATTTCATTTTGTTAGCGCTTTGCAAATTTATCGTGCTAATAGTAGTTCTAAAGTGCCTAAAGTGTCAAAGTCAAAGAAAATCTCATGGCAAAAAATAAAGGTATGTGTCTAAATTAATGTTATTTTAAAACAATTATGTGGAGTAAAATTAATCGATATAAATTTTTTTTTTGTAGTGTCCTCGTCAAATTAATGGCGTTGATTGTGGATACTTTGTAATGCGATTTATGAAAGAGGTCATCATGGAAAATGAATTTATGATCCCCACAAATGTACGTGATTTTAATTATTATTATTATTCTTTTGTAAATTAAATTAATATAATTTAATTCTAACACGATTAATTGTTGATGTTTTCATATTTGAAGTACTTTTTTGACCACAAATGTCGTACCTACTCTCATGATAAGTTAACTGAGGTTAAGGAGGATTGGGCTACTTATGTGGTGGATGATGTTTTCGGTGAGTTTTTCCTTGACTTGATACTTGATAAACAAGACAAATATTACTCATGGATTTAGAGTTCAAATGTTTTGACTTAGATGTTTAATTTTAATTTTTGAGTTGGATTTAGAGTTGTCGTATAAATGATTTTAGTATTTTATTGGTTTAGAAGATATGGCACAGAGGTACTGAGTGTTCTTTCTTGGTCTCGAATTTAAATTTTGAAATAGGAAAATACGGAAAAATGACTTATATCTTATTGTATGATTGATTTATAGTTTTCCGTTTCTACTTGAAATTTTTAGATATTCGTAGTAACAATTGTAAGGTGTTTGATATCTAGTTCTGGATCATGAAAAGAAAGTTACACACAATTAAGTGTTTATGTATATTTTGAGAATTTGAATTATATTCTGTTTAGTGTTTATATGCATCTAATAATGGAAATTGTGGTCTATATATTTACAAGTCATGTTCTTGTTAGACTTAATTAGTTCAATTATTGCATTAGTTATATCGATTTATTGTTATTAGTTTATAATAATCATTCCTTATTTTATGCGCTTCTTGTTAGACCCATATTAAATGTTTGATTATTCTTTATATGTTGAATTAGTTTTTATTGTACAATACATAATCAATATTCCTTCTATGATACAGGAAAACAAGAAGCAATTATTTTGCCTAATTAGTGATTGTATCTATGAGTTCAACGCTTTTGGATCATGAAGGTGGTTACTACATGGGATTGTTTTGTTATCCTTTCTTATTTTTTTGGTGTTTTGTTTAGAGAATTTGATTGTATGTTTTTGGATTTGGATTGAAGTACTCATAGATGGGCATCTACAAATTTGGCTATGCAAACGCCCTCTTAATATTCTATATGTTATGATATTTGGAAACAATAGGATTTGGTAATTTAAAATGTTATTTGGTATTTGATGGATCATAATATATATGCAATGAGTAATTTAAAGCGTTATTTGTGTTGAATTGAATATAATTATTTTATATTTACACCAAAAAAAATGATTGTGTAAGAAAAAATATTGTACTGTACTTATTAAAAATATTGTACCAAATATGTACCATTTATTAGCACTTTATTTGAAAGCGCTATCAAACATATGTTATATATTAGCGCTTTTTGTTTAGAGTGCTATAAAAAAACAAACAAAAAACATGCAAAATACTGACTTTGATAGCACTTTAATTAAAACGCTATTATAAATTGGTACTTTAATAGCGCTTTTAAAGTGCTATTAAATAAGAAATATTTACAATAGTGGCGCGGTTAATAGCACTTTTAAGCGCTATCAAAAACAAAAAAAAAACGCTATTAAATAGCTTATTTGGCGTAGTGGTTGCCACGTAATTTTCACGTCGCAACAAACTTATAATTGTTTTCTCTTCCTTCAAAACCTGAGCACGCCAGTGTTGGAAGTTGTGATTTATTTAATTTTTATGATATTTTAATTATCGACGTGAATCCCACGTCACAACTTTTTTTAACACAAAAAAATAACTGACACACTTAATGCTTCTGTATTATATTATTAAAACACGTTGCCACGTGATTTTCACGTCGCAACTGGTTTTATTTAGTCACATAAAAATCGCGTGGCAACTTCACGTGGCTGGATAAACATTTTCTTGTAGTGTAGAGACATACTTAGATATGAAAAATGTCCTTATTTAATTTTTATGTTAAATAAATTTGACCCTTTTTATTCTTGTTTGCCGCATTACTTCGATCTCGGTTTTAATGGTGAATTTCGGTGTTGAATTTGGGTTTTTAGACTCTTCAACTTACATAGACAGTGGTTCCGCAACCAAAACAAACGATCCATTGTACACATTACAGTGAACTTTTTTTTTTTAATAAGCACAATACAGTGAACTTGAAGGCGGTCGAAACAGCTTGAATAATGTTAGCCCTCTCTCCTCTTTCTTGCGGCATCGCCCCTCAATTTGAATGTCATGAATGCTACTTGACAATCAAACCTCAATTTGTTCAATAGCAAGAAGATAAAAGTTGCAAATTTCTATAACAAATAATACACGACAACTGGCTACTACTAGTACTTACCCTTCAAGTACCTATCAAGTACATGAACAGAGATGTAAGCTTTGTCATACTGCCTAACATGCCATCTGCCAAATAATAATTTTGCAACCATGCACATTTATAAAAACAACAAGTAAGACTGTGCAATAGACTATTAGTTCAACTTGGAATTCAATTTTATACTATATAATTGGAATTAATTCTATAATACACAACTGAATTGGGTGTTGTACCGTACATTATAAAACATTATTTTAGTTAAACATAAAAAGTAGTACACTAACAGTGTAAATCATTTAATAAAAAATAAAAATTCTATCATGTCATTAAGAAAATTTTAAAATAAAAAAGTGACTTAGTTAAATATATAATTATAATTGATTAATATTATAAAACTATATCACACGAGTGCATCAACCATTTATCAATAATAATAATTAGATTTAAAATTCCTTTAATTATGTCGATTTACAAATATGTTATTTACCTAGTTTGTAGTCAAAAGTTAATAGCTACATTAGTGGAAAATCAATAGGAGATTTGTTACCTTGATTTGTTCCAAATTAGGTTTATCAAACCTGTATATATACACTACTGTAAACTAATGAAATTATTCACTTTTCTATATGGTATCAGTTGGAAACGATTCAGCCCTATCCTTCTAATTCAGAACGCCGTTTCCCATTCCTGCTGTCAACCTCGTCTCCCATGGCCTCCGACAGTTCCCACTACATCACCAACCCCTATGAGCCATCCAAACCCTTTGTGTGCATCACTCTTAGCAGTGTCACCAAGCTGCTTCCCACCAATTATCTTAATTGGAAACTCCAAGTTGAAGCTTTCCTTGATGACTTTGATCTCCTAAAATATCCAGATGGATCTTTCCCCGCGCCGCCGGCAATGATCTCTACCACTGCAACACCCTCAGTGACGACAACAAATCCTGCTTATCAAACATGGCGTCGACAAGATCGCCTCATCTATGGCGCTATCCTCACCACTCTCTCCAATGAAGTGGCCTCTCTAGTGTCTCAGACAAAGACTTCGCATAGTCTTTGGACTCTTCTCAAAAACACATATGCCAAGGCCTCTCGCAACCATCTCAAGCAACTCAAAGAGCGTCTTCGAATGGCTTCCAAAGGTACCCAATCCATCACAACCTATATGCACTCTCTGAAGCAAATAGCAGACCTTCTTGCTTCACTCGGATCTCCTGTTTCGGTTGAAGACATGACTGACCATGTTTTGCGTGGTCTCGACGATGGCTACAGAGCAGTCATTGATGGAATAAACGCAAGGGATATCCCAATTAACTTTGATGATCTCCTTGAGAAACTTCTCATCCAAGAACTCTCTATTGTTGCTGCTCAGAGACAAACTCCTGCCCCGGTTACAGCTTTGAATGCTCAGGCTCGACCCAACTATAACAACAAGCCTCGGTCTGGTCAATTCCCTGCACCGTCTAATCAACACACCAGCAATCGCAAACCGTTTCTTGGACGCTGTCAGTGGTGCAATGTCAAAGGACATGTTCTATCTCAGTGCCAACTCTTCAAGCAGCAACATCCTGGTATCCCGCCACCGTCTCGAAACTTTATTGCTCACACTAGATCGGCTCAGGCCAACATTGCAGCTGCTGGTCCATCTCATACTGATTTCTTGGTTGATAGTGGAGCAACACATCATGTAACCAACGATCTTGCAAATATGGCACTTCATCATCCGTACACTGGTCCTGACTCGCTGTTCATGGGCAATGGTTCAGGTTTAAACATCTCTCATTCTGGAACACTTTTAATTCATGATTTATCCTTGTCTAATGCTCTGTGTGTTCCTTCCATGAAACAACAAATTATTTCTGTCTCTAAACTTACCAAACAGACTGACTCTGCTGTTGTTTTCCTGCCAAACTCTTTTCATGTAAAGAACTTGCAGACAGGCCAAATAACCCATAAGGGCTCATGTGTGGATGGACTTTATCTCTGGCCCACCTCCCCACCATCTGTCCATACCGTCCGCGCGGAATCCTCTGCATCATGGCACCATAGGCTTGGGCACCCCTCATCCTCTATCTTTAAATTTATTCAACATCATTTTTCTTTGGGTTCAAATAAATTCCCACAATCCGATTGTAATTCATGTCAAATTAGTAAGAGTCACAAACTTCCTTTTCATGAATCCACTCTTAAATCTTCTTATCCATTAGAAATAATTTTTTCAGATGTATGGACTTCTCCTGTTTTATCTATTGATGGTCTTCGTTACTATTGCATGTTTGTGGATCATTTTACTCGTTATATCTGGCTATATCCAATAAAACACAAATCTGATGTCCAAAATATATTTCCCAAATTTAAATCACTAGTTGAAAAATTTTATCAGCACAAAATCAAAATCTTATACACAGATAATGGTGGTGAATACATTGGACTTCGTCCATTTTTAAGCACTCATGGTATAAGTCACCACACCACCCCACCTCATACACCTGAACACAATGGAATCTCTGAACGCCGGAATCGTCACATTACCGAAACCGGCCTCTCTCTTCTTCACCATTTGGGCTTGCCCCTCACCTATTGGCCTCACGCCATGACTACTGCAGCCTACCTCATAAATCGTCTCCCAACTCCAATTCTTGGGTACAAGTCACCTTATTCCAAATTACTCCACATTAGCCCGGATTATCATAAATTAAAATGTTTTGGATGTTTGTGTTTTCCCTGGATTAAACCATATGCTAACCATAAACTTGCACCAAAGTCTGCTATGTGTGTTTTTGTAGGTTATTCGGCGGATCAACACGCGTATTTGTGTCTCGATCCCACAACTGGAAGGATTTATACCTCTCGCCATGTGAAGTTCGTGGAATCCAAATTCCCATACAGCTCTCTGGTAGCTCAATCTAATTCACATACAGAACCACAAACAAGCCCACTTCAACTCTCTATTTTACCGCCCCTAGCTCAACCTATTGACAATACCACTCTAAACCCACCGGAAAACTTATCCGCTGCCCATACCACTCCATTTGTCACCCACTTACCAGATTTGGCTCAAACATCAACCTCAAATGAACCCACCAATACTACTCAAACTTCCCCTTCAAACTCCCAACCCTCCCCCCAACCTTCTCCACCACCCATCAACCCAAACCCAAGACAACAAACCAATGCTGGTGGGATCATCTCCCGGTCTAAAAACATCATCATCAAACCTCTTACAAAGCTCAACCTACACGTTCGATCCTCCTCTCCCATTGAACCCAACACCATCACTCAGGCTCTTCGTGATCCTGATTGGCGCTCAGCCATGCAAGCCGAATTTGATGCTTTACACCACAACCACACTTGGGATCTTGTAAGTAGGTCCTCTGCTCAAAATTTGGTTGGTTGTAAATGGGTCTTTCGAATCAAACAGAATCCAGATGGATCAATTGATCGTTACAAGGCTCGGTTAGTTGCCAAAGGGTTTCACCAACGCCCCGGTTGTGACTATACGGAAACATTCAGCCCCGTTGTTAAACCAGTGACTATTCGAATCGTTCTAACACTTGCAGTTCGTCAAGGGTGGTCCATCCGTCAGCTTGATGTCAATAATGCATTTCTTCAAGGGACACTCAAA